TCCCAGATAAGGTATGAATGTTTATAATTTGGTTGTATTTGAACTGGGTACCAAAATTTGTCAATGTAAAATTAATTTTGAGATATTGGTCGTAAATAGAAATGACAGCATATGTTGAAATTGAACTCTTTTTGGTGCTTTAATATGCATGTCTGCCAGTGAGTAAAGAATTGTCGTAATCGGTCAGCAAATGAAAAATCATTAAAAGTAATTACTTTTGACAACAGCATCTATGAAACTTGCATTTATGACATCTAACAGCACAGCAGAGTTTAATTTGGATTACTCGTGTAAACATACCAGTTTGCAGAATTATCCACAAAAGTTCCTGAAAGTTAGTGTTTACTATGTACTGTAGTCTTTTGGGTGTAAACCCTTTTTTTTTTTTTTTTTCAAGAGAAAGCATATGAAATTGCGGGGTGTGTCTTATACATGCAAATTAGTAAAAATAGATGTATATAAACAGCTGGCAACACAGCAAATGTATTTAAGGATTGAGCATAAAATACATTGTTGGGTGAACGTTTCATAGTAATGTACTAGTTGTGGTTGCTGGACATGGTGAGCAGTTGTGGGATAATAGTAATAGTGATAATTGATACTGGTAGTGCAGCCAACTACTGTAGTGATTGACAATGACAGTGAATAAGGAGTGCTAAGCACAGAAACATGTTCCTTTTGATTGAAAATTTAAATAATAATAATAATAATTAATGCATGGTAAGCACTGTTTTCTGCTTAACTGCTTTCATACCTGCAAAATGGAAAAATGTTATATAAAGGTTATCTATCTCTTATCCTCAAGATTTCTTTTTTTAATTAGGCATATTTAGACTATCGTATTTCTCCTAAGAGAAATTATATATAAAAATTGAAGGTTATACATATATAAATATGCATATGCATGTTTATAGTAGAGTATTACAGCACAATGCAGAAATATTCCATACTGCTTTCCACAGAAATATGTGCCAACCAAGTATTGGTCTTTTCAAAAAAATATGTCTAGATCATGTTGTCCTTTTCTTTTTTTACCTTCTTCCGGTGCCTCTTGGCTTATAAGAAGGGCAGATAAAAGAGCATTCTGTTGAACAAGTAAAACTTTGTGGTGAGCTGAAAAAGCCATGACGCAAAATAACGAAAACAAGCAGAGCGAGCGCGGGAAATCAATCGAGCTAGAAAACAGTGCGCGAAAGGTATAGACACATCTACGCATGTGCAAATTTAGCTTCTCTTATTGGCCACAGCTTAGACCCCCATATCACAGGTGTGAATGGAACTCCCGTATTTTATGCCCTTATGACTATGCCTCTATGCCACTGTCTGAACGCAGTCCTTAATTTTGGCCAAAATCGGCAGAAGGTCCTTCATTTTAATTATCAGAAATGTCTGTTTTTACAACTACCATTTTGAGTGTGAATTACCATTTTGGAGGAATATATTTGGTTATTCACTGAGATATATGGTTATCTTTTGAATGGGTTCATGGGTTATAATTTGTTCCTGTTTCTAATATAAATGATGGAGTACTGGAGTTTCTAAGCAAGAAGTGAAACATAAGCATTTCGGAATTCATTTTTTCTAAGAAGAGCTCTTAAACAATGTTTCACCTTTATTAAACACTTCTGAATTTGGCGATTTTAAGATCAGTTTCTATAAAAAGTTTTTTATTCTGAGTTCTGGGAATATTTTGACAATTGGTTTTAAAACATTGTAACGTTGATAAATTTCACTAAAATAATAGTAATATATTGAAATTAAAAATAAAATTAAAATTAAAATTTTTTTTTCGCTGTCATATTATAAAGTTTTATTTTGGCAACTTATAATACAGTATTTTTAGTCTGAAAAATAAGCAAGGTATAATGTATAGAAAATGTATGTATAAAGCACAGTTTACAAACAGTTCTTAGCAAAAGCAAAATTAGCTATATAGTTAATTAAAAATGTCTTTGTTAAAATTTTTTTCATAGTAAGAGTTTTTCTGTGTAATCCTCAGAATATGCACCAGTTTTCTCTAAAATTTTTTACACTTCTCTCTCTCTCTCTCTTTTTTTTTTTTTTTTTGCCAAAATATTTTGGCTTTTGCTATTACAGATAGTAGGGATAATTTTCTTTAGAATTTTAGACATTGGAGCTTCGAAGTTTAAAAGAATTTGAAGGAAGATTTATAGACCCAAATTCTAGAAGATTCTAGAGATATGTGACCAAAAAATAAAAAATGTCTCCATATTATTAACACGTAATGGATGTATTTTACACAAAGTTTGATGAAGTTCTTACTTTTTGGAGAACGTCTGGAAGAACAATGAAAACATAATATTTGAATGTTTTACTTCTAATACTAGAATCTTTTTCTTAACATGTTTATCTTTCTTTTATTTTCTCTACTTTTCACTAGACACGAATATGGAAAAGATCAAAAATGCTTATAATCTTATAACATGGGCAGGCATTATAGAAAGGAATTTTTTTTATTAATAAAAATATTGAAAACTTTTCAAAGTTTCATCTAATATGTTAAGGCATCATACACCGAGCTGGCACTAGGCATTTTCCCTCCTGATGCAATTTCTGTGCAACCTTTCTGCTGCCTAGTGCCTTTCTAAATTCTGCTTCCAATGTCTGCTCTAAATTCTAAAAGTTTTGCCATTTCAAGATCTTGTTGTTCGGTGTGTCACTGAATTCTAAATATTCTGCCACACCAGCTCTGTAACCTACCCTTACCATATATATTTCATATTTCTACTAAATGTTCATATTACTAAAGAAATAAAATTTACAGGTTTTTCTACACATTCTAAATGCACTTTTTAAAATTTTTATTGTAGAATAACAGAAATCCTTAATTATATCCAAAAATTCTGAAATGAAAAGGAAACCTGTTGAAGAAAGAAACTCAATACTTGAAGAAAATTATTCTTCAAAGAATATGTACAGTTATTATGTAAATTACCCAGTTGTTTATGATTTCAAAGCCTTTACTGTAATTTCCCGTTTCTATTTCCTCGTATGATAGAGTTACAGAGCCAGCTTAAATTAAAATTAAATTGTATAATCATTGACCACTAGTCCACATTTTTAATTTGAATTTGACTATTCTTGTTTAATAACGTCACCATGATCTATAATTGATTTTGTTAGCATCAGAACATGCCTTTATATTCTGAGTTCATTTTAAATAAGAGGTTTATTTAAACCTTTGTTCAATATTATAGCAATAATTTGCTTCATGTCTGTCGGGAAAGGGGGGTTGGAACTATTTAACTTTTACCAGATCAAGTAAACCCTCATAGGTATATTGTGGAGAGGTTGACAAGTTAGCAGATAAAGCATGCAGAAACTAGTCAGAGCATTGTTTGCGTATTGAGACAAATTTCTAATTGTTAGAAAAGATGCTTAAAGAGAAGGAAATCGATAAAAATTTGCCAAAATGTCTGGGAAGGCTTCAAATTAAAATGAAGCATTAATATTTTTGTTGAGTGTTGTTACAAGACATAAATGTTTTGTATCAACACAACTTTCAAAACTTGCCAACTGTGCCTACAATAGGCGTTTCAGGTTTGTTCTAATCAGCACCTCTCTCTCTAGACAAGCAGTGACAACATTCAGTCTTTTGTTATGAATCATGCTGATTATGATCTTACTTCTCATTTTAACCTATGAATGACGCTTGACATAAAATCTACCTGCTATTTATTAAACCTCTAGACTGAACCAGTATGTGACAAAATGAGACATGAAAAAAAACAACATAAAGCTAACTGTTAGTAAAATATGTCACTTATCTTTTTTCAAATATGTCCAACTATTATAAATGTAAAATATTTAATGCTACTTGTAAATTGCATAAAGTTTATTTTATTCTCAAACTTTAATTAATTTAAAACTTTCAATGTTAATTCATGTTTAATAATAATGTGTCATACTTAGGGATCTATTTTATTTTTAGAATGGTATTACAAAACTGAAATTCAGGCATAGATAATATTTTTAATTGAATTTATTAAGTTCTTATTTGCTCATAGGTCCTTAATTTTTTTCATTAATGGTCCTTAAAAGTCCTTAATTTCTGTGTGCAGAAATGTGTACGAACCCTGTATGATCTAAACTACAAATTATTATTAAAATTTACAACAAAAAATTATTAAAATAATTAAAATTTACAAAAAGAGCTTAATATTTATTTGTTTACTTTGCTAAACATTTCTTTCAATGTAAGTTGTTTTAAGTTGCTTCGTTTTTTGTGATAATACTTTCTCTTTAATTCTATAAACAGAAATAATTTCTTGTGTTGTTGTTGTTGTTACTAATCTCCATGCCTAGGAATATACTAGACGAGGTCCACGAGTCCATTCACCTTTAGAAAACCGAAAACAAGCTTAGGAGACCCGTAAAGGTCCACAAGAGACAACTCCAGACACTCAAGGATATGTACCGGTGATGCGGGTGCATTGTGACACTTAGAACAAATTGGGTGCATCTTGATACCACTCCCAAAAGTAAGTTCCCTCAAATGCCCACTGAAGAATCGGGAAAGTGTTGTCTGAACACATCTTTCGCAATCCATAGCAAGGGATCTTCCAGGACAATCAGCTTGATACCAGGGATGACTTGGGGGAACGAGCCAAATTTGCCTGTCATCATGTCTTCTAATGGAATGCAGTTCAAGGTATGTCAGTGAATTGATAATTGGCAAAAGTTCTTCAGAAGCCTCCCTCGCCATGTCCTGGCCATGCCATTGGGAATGCCAGTGCCAGAAGCCTCCCTCGCCATCGAAACAATATATCAATGGAAGGAATCCACTGAAGATGCATTTCACAGAGTGACGAGACCTGCCTAAGTTTGCCAAGAATTGCAACCCCGCCCCTATCACCAACTCTTTGCCAGTTTGAAAGATATTTGATAGCGCTACGACTGTCAGACAAAATCCATACTGCCTTAAGATCTGTAAAGTACAAAACAGCATTTAGTCCCTCTTCGATGGCTATAAGTTCACTCTAAAAAACTGAACTGAAGTCAGAATTTCTTTTCTCTATTTTAACAATATTTCCATTTGTGCATTTAATGACAACACCACTACCGGAGCGAGAGTCCTCGCTTTTACTCCCATCAGTATAGATGAGGGTAGCTTCAGCGGGAATTGCATGTATAGTTTCCAAGACAGATTGTCCTAACAGGGCCGGAATATCATTTTTCTTGGAAACTCGAGACGAAAGTTCCGCATGGAACCCGACTCCAGGGAGTCCCTCAGACGGATCTAAACATTGTTTCAAGGAATGCTGCTCAACATTATGGCCAATTATACCAGCATACTCAATTTGACAAAGCGGACTATATTTCTTAAGTCTTTGGTTATTACTCCAATGCCGCAGAAATTCTGAAGTTCTATTCTGGGAGCCGCAACTGAGAAGTTTATTGTAATATTTTACGAGGCCCGCATTTCTTCTTAGACTGAGGGGTTGAAGGTCTGTTTCATACAACGCAATTTTATTCGGGCAACTGTTGCGCAAGCCAGTTACAATGCGAGAAGCACTGAGTTGGACTCTTTCCAGTTTCTGGAAGTTGGTAGAAGAGGCACAACAGTAAACGGGGAAACCGTATTCCAAAATAGGTCGTATGATAGCTGAGTAAGTAGTTCTCAAAGTGCAAGCATCTGCTCCCCAATCACGTCCCGAGATATACATCAGAATGTTTAGGCGTTTTCTGCCTTTAAAAACCAGCGCATCCACATGTTTGTTATTAGTGATCTCTGGATCGAGAACGAAGCCCAAATATTTGGGATGTTTGTCATATGTAAGAGGCAAATTATTCATAAAAACCTTTGGATGATAATTATAAATCTTCTTATTAGTGGTAAAAAAACTAACAATAGATTTAGTTGGATTAAAACTCAATTTGTGGTCTTCGAGAATTTCCACACTTCTTCAAGGATAAAATTAATATTGGTCTCAATTAAACTCACATCTGGGCCAGAGCTCCAAAGGGCAATATCGTCCGCAAATTGTAGTATCATCCGCAACCTCACATCTTCCTTGATATTAATCTTCTCAATTCCAGCCAAATACAGGCAAAAAAGAATTGGGCTCAACAAAGAACCCTGGGGGACGCCTTGGCTCAATTTAAAAGGCTGTTTGACATAGTGGAATTAAGCTTTACTTTTATCAGTCTATTTCTTAAGAAATCTGCGATCCAGGTCAAAGCTTTACCCCTGTTGCCAAAGTCTTCGCATAGCTTAATAATTAGTTTATGTTTCTATATACGGTCAAATGCCTTTTATAGATCTAGAAAAGCAGCCACAGTATGATTGGTAGGTCGTTCGTTTGTTTTGGGCATCTCTAATCTTCTGGCTGAGATAGACCAATTGATAAGTGGTGCTATGACCTCTTCTGAAACAGTATTGTTCTTTTGATAGGAGGTCGTGGGGTGGTGAAAGAGCAACCATCCCCATGATCATTTTTTCCATGACTTTGCATGTAGTGCTGCTTAGGGCAATGGGTCTAAAGCTCCCAAGAGATCCATCGGTTTAGCCAGGTTTCTCAACAGGTATAATTGTGGCTCTTTTCCACTCTTTAGGAAGGTGTCCTAGACTCCAAGATTGATTTACTATATTCAGAAATTTCTTTCTTGTATGAGTGCCAAGATGCCCAATCATCTGGCCATGGATAAACATCAGGTACAGGAGTTTTGGTCAAGTCAAGATCCTCAAGTGCCATCTCCAATTCATGCCTGGAGAAGGATTTAAAGAAAAGGGGATTGCCCGAGAGAGCACTACGACATCCATGTGCAAGATCTCGAGACCTTTTCTCAACTTCTGTAAAAGTCATCTCACTTATCTCCTGGTAATGTGCCCCGAGGAGATCAGCCGCAGCTTTTTCGTCTATAGGGATGTTGCCATCCGTATCTAAGATAGTATTACATCTCTTTATCTGAGGTTGTTCACTGCTAATATTTTTGATCAATTTCCACTGGAGACTATATTTCGTGTCAGATGATCTAGCATCAAGTCCCTCACATATATCCATCCATTTTTTCCTCTTAAGTAGCACATAAGTTCTTTTTTCTTGTTCAATTACAAAGTTCCACTGTTCAAGTCCTGTAATTGCTGTGTCCAAAATACCGACTAACATGTCAATTGAAATACCTCTCTGTCACTTTTTTTCACTACCAGAAGTGTGCATGGGTAAACGCTTTACGCGCATTAAAAGCGCATGCGTAAGTTTGTGGCTTTGAGGTTCGGATAATGGACGCCCGGATTACGGACTTTGTACTGTATCCGTATAATCTGCACCAAGGTATCAACCATTGAAACTGACTTTACTTAAGACACACTTTAAGTTTAAAAACTGAGTTTACCTAACACACACTTTAAGTGAGTTTACTTCTTTAATTACTATTTTCTTATTAATGGGATTTGCAAAGCAATATGCTACGGTACCAATGAATAAAATTGTAGTATTTTTAACACGTTGATGCTGGCCTGACCCAGAGGTGGGTCATGCTTGATTGTTCCGTGGGCCGGCATGACTCGCACTTGTATTTAAAAATCTTATTTTAATTATTCAACAGTATACATTAACATTTCAACATTATAATCGAACATTCAATACAAAACAAATAACTTAAAATGCAACTTATAAATTAAATATAATTAATTTTTCCTATGCAATTTTTTAAAGCAGGTTAAACAAAGTGCCGGCTTACCCTTACAATTATAGCAATATGTTGTTATTTTCTTTGCTGTACTCGTCCCACGAAACTGACCACTAATTCAAGTGCCGTAGTGCGAAAAGAACGATGAATATCCGCGCCGCCTTCAACGTGTTAAAGATTAAATTTTAGAAGTATTTTTACTTCGTAGACTGATGTTTTTTTACAATGCAATTTTCCACATTAAATGTAGAGCTGGGGTATCGCTGGGATTTGAAATTCCGGTCAAAATACCAGTGTTTAGTAACTTTACCGCCTGGTTGTACGACCCCATCGGAAACAATGTGCTTTAACCCATTAACCGCCAGAACTACAAGGAATGTTTCTTTTCTCATGAAAATAATAACAAATATTAAATTAGGCATTTCTAACATAAATTTACATTGAAAATTTAAAAATGCTCTTACCTCTTGAAAAAGCGAGTGTTGCGTTCGCACAACGTCAGCGGAATAAGACTACGGATGTTTAGTGAGTAGGATTGTACTCGTGTGATGTTTCTTTTGAGTGGAGCGCAGGATTACTTTTTAGCTGTATAACGTTTTATAAATCTACAAATCACTTTACTTGTAATTAATTTAATATTAAAATATACATTCTATTTCTTTTACAAATACAGATTATTTCATTTGAAAGATTCAAGCATGAAAAGCTTGATTACAATCATGATGTAAAGCTACATTACATACTTTGCATCTATAGACAATCTGGCTGTGATATTCTTTTACAACAAAGTCTTTTGTTATCAACGGACTTTACGATAAAATGTCTACCATCTCCATGCAATGGTTTTTCTATGCTGAATTTACTAGGTCTTCCTGTTGCTGAACTATTTCTGGCTAATTTTACACTCTCAATAGGAGTTTGCAAAAGGAATAATGCATTCTCGCATCTGAAATCTAAAAGAGACTTTATATTTCCAGTAGTAAAAAGTGGTGATATTTAGTAAGTTTAGATACGGTCTCACCTCATATAATTTATCAGTATTGTCAAATGCAAATTCTGCTTCATATTCCTGTACTGCAAACATGATATCAATTCTCGTACAACAGGAACAGAAATGTTAAAGAATGATATCCTGTAAGCAATAATATTCCAATAAATCTTCTCATATAGGCTTCAGATGCAATTTTTTTTCCCCTGAGCGTGTATATTTGTCTCTTCAACGAGAAGAGAGTAAATGTCTAAACCAAAAAGAAAATCGAAAATCTGTGCACTAGTTTTACCTTGTCTTTTATAATTTCTCTTCTATTTCTTTCTTCATGTTCTTCCTGAGACATAACTAACAGTTCCTTTTTTATCCACATTTTAAGATTTCAGTTTTCTGCTTTCTAGACATTTTAGTATGACTATAAATGCTTTTAGAAGGCTGAAACTTACTTCTTACGTGAATTTCAACTTCCCCAGCAGTATCATTTGGTAAAATATCATTATCATTATTTAAAACATTGCCATTCCTTTCTTCTCCGTTACTAGCCTCTGCAATTTCTGGGGGAACGACAAATATATCAGTTTCATTCTGGTCATTATTAACATTATCATCATCTGTTTCGTCGGGCTTCTAATGTAAGATACCTTGTTCTAGGCATTTTTAAAACATCGAAAGGAATGAGTAAAAAAGGAGATTGACTACCCGTTTCCTGCAACACCTGTTTTCCCTTCCTTCCGAATGCAAATATAAACATCTGACTGATGTAATGTTCTGATAAACGGTGACCTTGACTAAAAATAGATTACTCATAAAGACGGCCATTCTTTCGCTAAAATATTTTCAGCAAAAATACACGGTCGAAAATTTTGCTTAAAGTATGAGATTATTATAAACAAAATGATTGTTGAAGGCAATTTTTTTTTTTTTTTTTTTACAGAAATAATCTTTATAATATTCCCTACACAAAATCATCTGCTGGTATAAAATATCTGAGGTAGTTATATTTATATACGCATTTATTTTGACCATTGCATCAACGCAACACCAGCGGCTGGGTTAAAGATAATTAATTTTATAAACAATTAAGCCAGATTGGAAAATAAGCTGCATATTCAAGATAGATCTAAGGTTTTAGAAACATCTGTTAACTGGAATTATGATGCAAGATTTTGAAAAATTATCTTTTAAATACAAGTTGGAATAAATAGAATACAATATACAAATTTTAGATAAATGAAAACTTGAATACCATACAATAATATATGAAGTGGAAGTTGAAATCCCAAGATATGAATAAAGGGAATTTGAAAATTTTGTTATGTATCGTGAAAATGCCGCAGATGCTCATAGTTAACATCTATTATTAATTAAATGTATGTCAAAGGAAAAGAAGAGTGGGTTAGAGTAATTGGAAAATAAATAAATATTTAAACGTTTCTACTATTAAAAATATGGAATTTGTAAGAAAACTGAATAACTTCAATGAAAACTTTTCAACATTTTATAGGGCAAAATCACGAAAACGTCTCATTTTCTGCAATAAGCGACTTTACCACTAGGGTGCTGATGAGCCCCATCGATAACTGAAGTAACAAAAAAGTTTTATCTTCATTTATACTGTTGCTATTTTTAATAGGATACTTTTGAAATAAGATTTCTGCATTTAAAAATGTTTCACACCTTTTGGAGACATTTTTTACACTTAGTCTTTGGAAGTATAAATGACATAGGTAGCAACAATGTCTTATTTGCATTAAGTTGATCATTGTTGTTTACCATGGGGTGGCTTAAGGATATCCAGATTGGAGGTTTTTTAGTGACAAGTAACCTGTCAGTTGAATCTAGTTTTATAAAAATTTTACACGGTCTAATTAAAAAAATTCTCTATTAGAAAATTAAGAGTCTAACTAAAAAAAATTCCTTTTCTGTTATTTTCTTTCTGTCATTCCCTCAACCAGACTTTATATAAAGCTAATCAATTTTCATATTTAAATGCAATTCAATGATAAATGTAAAATATAGTTTGTAGAATTTATCAAAATGACATTTCTCATTTTCAACACAAAAGTAATCAAGTATCATTAATATATCTTGTGTATCAGATTTTGTAAGGATGAATTTTAATCTGGTGATCCATTCATCAGCCAGTATTCATTTTTTCTGAACATCAGCCTATTG